TTTTTTAAACTCAAAAAAAGCACTAATCTAGTTTTGCCTCAGCAAAGTGGTAAGGCCTATAGTAGCTTCGCTTTTTCATTGAATGTTAGAATCTATGATTTTCCAAAGTAAGTTTCACTTCAAACTTTCCTCGTCAAAATGACAAAGAGCACAAAGAAGTTTTAACAATCTCTGGTTCACCCTCTGAACTACCAAAATACAAACCGGAAAATCACAATCCGTATTATTCAAATTTAATTTAAATCGAATTCAATTAAAATCTATGGAGACTAATTAAACGAGGGAACAAACGGCGATGCGCAAGACACAATATAAAGGTGCGCGCAAGACACGAATATAAGATCACTGCGCACCCATATGTTCCACATTTCTGGCAATCGAAAAAAGTACTTTTGAGTGTTTATTTAAATTTTCTGTCTTTAATTTCAATATATTCCAATAACAAATAAAAAAAGCTATTCAGTTACAAATAAAAACTCCTCCTTGACCAGATATTAGAACCTGCATCCTATCCAGAAGCATTCCTTCTAATGATTGTGTTCATTAGCCTGGATGAAGTATCGGCATGTGTGTTGACCCGATCCTCGACGGCAATTTTCCCGCGGTGTTCCTGGTTAGAGAAAAAAAAAAACGCACAGGGAAGCCGCTAGTGGCATTTTTATTCATTCGTCCTTAGCCAAGAATCAATGCAAAAGATCTACTAGGAAATAAACAACGACATCTGTAAAAGTTAGTTTCATCAATTTATTTCCTAAGTTGTCCAGTGCCATTGGCCGTTGTCGCTTAATGAAATTTGTAGTATTCCTGGTAAAAGTAATGTTGATATCTCCACATTTGCTAAAAATTTTGGTAGAAATATTCGGTGTTAATATTTGTGTCAATACTGTATAGATGAACAAACGTTAAATAAGGTGCGAGCGGAGTGAAATTTGATTATTCTATTGACGGCTGTCTTTAATATCATTTGATGTGTGTGTACGGTGTATGCAGTCCAACAAGCAAGAAAATAGAAAATGGCGCGCTTGACCTTACTGAATATTCCAGAAAACAAGATGCACACAAAGAACAGCACTTGTACAAATTTACAACATAATAGAAAAAATGGCGCTTTATTCACGAATGTTCCAGAAAACAAGATGTACACAAAATAGCACTTTGTACAAATTAGCAAATATAATAGAAATGGCACTTCATTCCCTCGAATGTTCCAGAAAACAAGATGCAAGCATGAAAGAACAGCACTTGTACAAATTGCTAACGTGAAAATGGCGCTTATTCCACGTGAATATTCCAGAAAACAAGATGCACATAAAGAACAGAACTTGTACAAATTAAATACATAATAGAAATGGCGCTTTTATTCCATTATTCCAGAAAAAGATAAAAGTAACAAAGAACAAAGACTTATAGGAGAATAGTTACTGTTATTATTTATTTGATTTGTTCTCTGCTTGGTGTAGCAACACAAGTAGAGTATAAATCACTAATAAATAACAGTAACAGGACTATCAATAGCTATCAAAGGCTCCATTTACAAGCTGGCGCTGCGAACAGAATTTCAAATAGAGACCTAGCTTAAAGTGTCTCCTGCATATATAGCTTTCCGATAGGGCGTGACGTCACATGGAATACTCCAGAAGAATCTCCGGATCTCGGCTGTAAAAGATAGATAGGGTCAAATTCTCGCATTTTCTAGAACTCAATTTTGTACCAAAGTCGCCAAAGTTATCACTTGTTGTCTGGGGTCATTTGCTTTTAATCATCCATTATGAAATTCAGTAAATCTCTCTTTTCTTACCATAAGACTAACATGAGAAAATACATAGATCTGCAATACTTTATTGATAAGATTTACTTAAAAATGCCAAGAACAAATGTTGAAAATATTTAAACTGTTTTGTTAATTTCTCCTATTCAAGAAAACTCTTCTATAATCAGTTTGTGGCTGATCTATATGTATATAAGTTAACCATAAATAGTTTGTACACTACAGAAACCTATGATTATATGAATAGATTTTCTTCAAATCTTGCCACGAGTATCAAGTGAAGCATACAGAAAGTTTTAGTGAAGCTAGACAAATTATTAACAGTTAATTTTATTTATAAAAAAAACTGTTCTATCGTTATTATCTTTAATGTCTCTACTATAATACAATGAACTACATAGATGGAATCATTCCATTTTATTTGCCTGAGTAGCCATCTGAAATGCTTACTAAATTTTATATCAATTCCTGTTAGATTCTATAATGTAAAAGTTGCAAGTGAAGTCGCTATCGCCTAGAATGTAAGTGGCTAGCTAGTGCCAAAAAAAGAGATTAAGACCAGGCACAGTGTGACGATTTCGCGCTGCTTAGAGTACCAATAAACGGTTTGGGAACAAGGGAGGGGTTTTAGAATTAGGAGAATGCCATTACCACAGGTTTTTGAGAGGGGAAGGAATTTCCCCACCAATAAGGGCCACCTTTATATATATATATATATATATATATATATACATATATGGCCCCTTATATATATATATAGTTCTCACCGAATGCAATTTTTTTTCAAGACCAGTACCCGGACTGCACAAGAATGCTATTTTAAACGCGAAAAATTCTATTACAATATATTAAAATTGTATACATTTAGTTTTTTTAATATGTTATTAAAATTGTATTATTAATCTATCAGGCTCATACAAAAATAATACAATATCTTTAGATGAATAAGAATATAATTTTAATGCACTTAGTGCATTTTTTTCCTGCACTAGTTTAACCCTAAAGATAGATATTTTCTGTGGTTAATTCCAGATCAGATTAGCGCACTTTATGCACCGTTTTCAACCAACTCGAACGCTATTTTAATTAATTAATTTTATTTTTTATTGCATACACAGATTAGATGTTGAATGGATGGGCGATGGCAAATGCTTATGTTCGGAGTTCAATTCTTCGTGAACTGAATTGTGCTCCACTTCAGGCCTATACTAGGATTCTGGTTTCATGCACTTAGTCACTTCATTGGTGATATGATGCATCAGATTGCATAGCTTGCCTCTCCTTGCTTAATTCTTCCAAAACAGCTAAATAGTAGTAGAAAAGGGGTCAGACATCATGTTTCTGTGATAATAAAGTAGGTTATGAAGAGCTTTTTCATGCAATTTTGAAGCACATCAGATTAATTGCCCATTGCGGCAATTTCGTTTGAACTTTAGAAATTGAAGAAATATTTGATATATTTACCCATTTTGGTGTAAAAGAACAAAGTTAGAGGGAAACAGGCTTAAAAATGTTAAATACATTTTTCTGCCATTGCATTAAGGGTCTTGATATATATATATACAATCATAGCATAATTGTGGGAAAGCAACATATAAACATAAACATTCTATAAACAAAATGTCAAGAAAAAAATCTGGTAAGAAAAAAAGCCGAGAGTTCTTAAAGAGAAAATAAACAAAAAAGAGGAATACATTACGCGCCGTGAAGATAAAAACAATCGAAAACATATACAAACCATCAAACCGAACTTATCACAAAAACGCCCGAACCAACAGATCTTGCGGAAAACACCAACGTCACGAGCCCCAAAAAAACGCCTGAAACAAAACGGATATGATCCCAGCAAACCCACAAAGCCGCATATATTAACCCAGGCATAAACCACACCAAACCGTCAAGTAACTGATGAAACCATGATCGTCTTCCACAACCAGCGGACAAAGTCGTCCCAGGAGATTACATAGCCCCACTGAACGCAGTTCCATGAACCAACGTCCTCACACATCCACACACTTAAACGTCACTATCGTCCAGTCAAACAATCAAACCATCAACCATCTCAACCCGACAAACCATCCGGAACCAAACCAGCCACCGTCCCACAAACCTCTAACCAACCATCACTTCATCCACGACTACTAATCCAACCCGCATACATATATGTGTGTGTGTGTGTGTAATATTTTAATTTTTTAACTTTCCTAAATAATCTTAACGATACCTCATTTTAAATACTTTAAATGTCCTCCAGACTGCTATAACAGTTTGATAGTGAGTTGTGTTAATAATAAACAAAAAGAGCTTTCTCAGGAGATTTTGCGATGTGGATTAGCACAGAGTTTGACCATCAAAACCAAAAGTGCTCATCTCTGCGGGCTATAATGTCCCATCGTGTCTTTCTTCCTAAACAGAAAATTCTTCACTTTATAAAAAATAAGTTAAGCCATAATTTTTAATTGCCATACTACCATCACGACACTTACCAACTTATAAATTTCCTCATTTCTGAAAAAGAAAAAAAAAATAAAACAATTTATATTTTAGAATTATATATCAATGTTTTTTATTTGTTTATATTTCCAGTTTTTACATGTACCAAGAAACTTCAAGAACTTTATCCAAGAATTATAAGAATTTACTTTAGTTTTCATATTTCTATTTTTATGAAGTACATTTGAAAAATGTGTATATCTTATATGTTGTTGATATTCTTAAATTCAAGCCCATGACCAGCAATTAAAACAATTTATCAAAATTTTAATAATATTTTAAAGGTAACTTGTCCAACTTCGCAGGTTTTGCGATAGCAAGGGCCTTGCTGTCGTACAACTCTTGTGGAGGGAGGAAATTGTGATATTTTAATTTTTTAACTTTCCTAAATAATCTTAACGATACCTCATTTTAAATACTTCCACTTTCATCATAATTAACGCACTACAATTTTCTTTTCAAGTCACGAGTTTCTAAAAGGGAAATTCCCTTTCCTGGGTACTTAAGCGTTCTGCGCATTCATTTCTGCCCCTTTTTCACGCCAGCGTGTAAGCTTTCAACAACAACGCGCCGCTCGGGCGTAAACTTCTAAATACTGGTCATGGAGCTACGTAAAAATTAAGTGCTTTACATATGAAGAATAACGCCTGTTGCCTCAATAAAAGAAGATTTAAACAAATATCGTCTCTTCCATGATGAAAATGGACTGCCTTTCACTTTTTTAAAGCCTGATCTTATATAAAGTCGACAGGATTCGAACCTGTGCGGGGAAACCCCAATGGATTTCGAAATTCGGAGCCGCCATTAGCCACACCAACTCAACAACAACAACGAGAGTACATTTTTCAGGCTGAAGATGAATTTTAGCAGCTTTCGAGTGTTTCATACGGATGTCATTAGATCATAGTTCAAATACCCACATCGTGTTATATTCCCTACAAAATTTAGACCACACCAGGATCATCACTCGTCGCTTATGTAGATTCTGATTTGAAATGTGCAACGCATTCATCTTCGAAGTTATTTCAATGCACTAGCTTCAAGTATTTAATTCATCTACTTCACCATATCGTCAAAAATGAATTCAAGTGGTGTTCTGCAATATGCTAATGTTTCGGTATCGCTGTGGATTAAATTGAGTCAAATGCTTCAACGAAAATAGCAAAATTAAATATTTCTACAATAAATAAAGTGCACAAAAAATGCAGCTGCTAATTTTTTATAAATAATAATTTTTGATTGCAAATATTCAATTTAATTATGTTCTTATAAATTCTATTTTAATTTTGCAAAATTGATTTTGGTTCATTATGTTTTAAAAATATTTGTTGATTTTTCATTTTATATATTGGTTTCTAAACTTTATGATTAATTAAGATAATCAATTGATTTAAAATTATATTTGAAATAGTTTTGTTTTGAAGGTAATGTGCTATTATCAGAGATGAGTAAATTTGAAAATACTCTTGCAGTGTGCATATTAAATTTTGAGATTCATGATATTTAATGTTAAAAAAATTCGTTTGGGGTTATTAAGTTTACAATCATATGTTTCATTTGATATAATAATTTTTGACATTAATGTAAAAAGTGGAATTATTCTCGTTTTGGTTTTGAAATTTATTTTGCTGATATCAGTGCTATAATAAATGTTGAGGTATAAGGTTTTATTGAAAACAGCAAATATTAATATTAAAAAATTGAGGTATTACTATGCAAAGTTGAATGTAATATTTTCTACTAAGAAGTGTTTATTATTTTTAGAAAATGGCCTTTAAATGATTTATAAATCAAAATGTTTAAAATCCTGACAGTTCTAAAATTCCCATAAATTTTATTTGATTCATGAATTAATTTTGCGTAAAATCAGATTTAAATGTGTTGTTGGAGTATGGCAAATAATTTATATTGCATAACTTAAAATAAAAGTGAATAAAACAAATTTAACTCTACAGAAAAATAAATAATGAACAACAACAAAAAAACATCTATTAACACCAACTCCCTCCATTCTGAGGCCTCTGGAGATCTGTTATGTCCTCCAGACTGCTATAACAGCTTGATAGTGAGTTGTGTTAATAATAAACAAAAAGAGCTTTCTGAGGAGATTTTGCGATGTGGATTAGCACAGAGTTTGACCATCAGAACCAAAAGTGCTCATCTCTGCAGGCTATAATGTCCCATCGTGTCTTTCTTCCTAAACAGAAAAATTCTTCACTTTATAAAAAATAAGTTAAGCCATAATTTTTAATTGCCATACTACCATCACGACACTTACCAACTTATAAATTTCCTGATTTCTGAAAAAGAAAAAAAAATAAAACAATTTATATTTTAGAATTATATATCAATGTTTTTTATTTGTTTATATTTCCAATTTTTACATGTACCAAGAAACTTCAAGAACTTTATTCAATAATTATAAGAATTTACTTTAGTTTTCATATTTCTATTTTTATGAAGTACATTTGAAAAATGCGTATATCTTATATGTTTTTGATATTCTTAAATTCAAGCCCATGACCAGCAATTAAAACAATTTATCAAAATTTTAATAATATTTTAAAGGTAACTTGTCCAACTTCGCAGGTTTTGCGATAGCAAGGGCCCTGCTGTCGTACAACTCTTGCGGAGGGAGGAAATTGTGATATTTTAATTTTTTTAACTTTCCTAAATAATCTTAACGATACCTCATTTTAAATACCCCCACTTTCATCATAATTAACGCACTACAACTTTCTTTACAAGTCACGAGGTTCTAAAAGGGAAAATTCCCTCTTCTGAGTACTTAAGCGTTCTGCGCATTCATTTCTGCCCCCTTTTTCACGACAGCATGTAATCATTCAACAACAACGCGCCGGGCGGGCGTAAAAACTTCTAAATTCTGGTCATGGAGCTACAAACAAATTAAATACTTTTAGCTATGAAGAAATAAAACCTGATGCATAAATAAATGAAGATTCGGACAAATATCGTCTTTTCCTTGAATTGAACAATGGACTGCCTTTTCTCCTTTTATAAAGCCTGATCTTACATATATATATATATATATATATATATATATATATATATCGTGTTATTTTACCAAAATAAATTCAACTTTTATTTATGTTATCTGTGTTTATTAGCCTAATAGTAAACAAAGATTTTAGAAATAAAATTGCACTTAAACATATAAAATAACGGTATAAACATGTAATACGATACACAATTAAAGTATCTCTTACAAACGCGCGCCCGCTGGAAGGTTAAATAATAAATACAAATCAATGATAAACAAAACTATTGGTGACAGATTTCAAATAAAAGAACAAGGAAAA